GATGAATCCAGCATGCACTGGACGAGAAGCGCAAGGAGTTCTCGTGATGCGGAGTCGGGTATTGTCGTGGCATTTGCCTGGAAGGAAAGTGAGGCAAACCACGAAAATCCTAAACTTAGTTCCTAACCTCCCGAGTACATCAGAAACGTTACTGTTTGAGATAGCTTGCTAAAGAAACCATTAAACAAATCAGAGCCTGTGTGTGTGTGTGTATATACATATATAAACTTAAAAAAGTTATCACTGTAAGAGGCCGTGGAGGCCCATAGGATGGTGAGACGTCGAGGTTCCGACAATTTTCTAGACAAGAGGCTCAGAGATGGCGGTGATGTTTTCAAACTTACGCGCCGGCCGCACTTTACCCCCCAGGAAGATTCCTGGTACTCATTTCTGTTAGAGGCTGAGTCTAAACCAGGACCATAATGCGGTTTGAGGGATTAGGTAAATTGAAAAATCCAATAACCTCATCGGGAAGCGAACCCGAGATGTTCCGGCTTGTAGCGTAGTGCCTCAACTACGCTACCACGTGTCCATGTAAGTAAATAACTAAATACACAGGTAATATCTATTAACGGACAGCGTTTCTGCGAATGGATCGTCAGAAGAAGATCCAGAATAGGGGATTCTGAATTATGTCTAATTGTTACGTTTTATAACGTTACTTTCCTTTTAAAGTGAACAGCAGAGAATGTTAAGGAAACGATAGGGATGAGACCTCACAGAGCAATCTGGCAACAGCAAAATATTTGCAGCCCAAGTTTCTTACAGAGTACACTGACCCTTTAGCGCCATTAGGAAGAATCTCACCGCAACAAACACACGACACCATTTTATCTGGATAAAGAGAGCGGGAAAGGGCCGGATATCTAATTTAGTTCCTCCCTGTCTGTCTCTAGTATTTCATGAACCACGCGATAAGAGAATCTCATCCTGTTCTACTCTGCGCCATGTTTCACCAGGGATTCTCCTGCTGTCTGCAGTAATACGGAATTCTCCTTCCGCTGTGCCATTCTCTCACTTTGTTACACCTCACCCTTCCCTCTGCAGACCTTGCCTAACGCTGTTATCTCCGTCATGCTGCTCTATGCATTACCCCTATCTCGTTCCTCAAAGCCGCACTATTCAGTTAACTTATGCACCACAATTCTTGCTTTTCTGTTGCTTGTTTAATGACGCTTTCTGTAACAGGCCTATATGCCTAGAGCGTTGAATGGATGGATGACGAATGAGTAACTAATCGTAAAGGATTTGGAAGGAGCGGTGGTAGTCTTATCGAGGCACTGTCCCGTCGTTTGCCTGGAGGGAATGAGGAAATGACGTAAACCCTCAATCTGGATAGTTACTGTCCCAGCTGAGATTCGAAACAAGCACCTCCCAAACACAACTGTAGAGGGTTACCGCTACGCCAGCCCGCTCAGTCGGTTCCAGTCACGCGGCGCACTTGTTAGCTGAAAGTGGATGTAAAGTTGTCCCTGTGCATAATTAATTAAGTACTATGCCATGAAGGCGTATGGGGGAGAGGATGTATAGATCCACCATTCCTGACATCTGCATTAGATTGTGGTGAGTGGTCAGCTTCACGACCCGGTCGCTTAATCCCCGGGGGAAAGAGCTCCCAGTACCCACTGAATAGGATACTGGGTGGGCCCCAGAACTTGTCTGCACGCTGTGAAGTAAAGCGTAATCTTGCTCTTCCGAGAGTCGACTGCAGACTCCAGCCACGTGCTCACGATTGTTCCTCGTTCGGGGATTGAGACGATACGTTCCTCCGAAACGTCGGTTTATTCGGTTTATACAATATCTACACGGTGCAAAGTCCCAGAAGACGGTAATCTTAAAGAATCTTGACCTTCCGAGAATCGAACCAGAGCCATCCAGCCAGTATCCCATCGCTATATTGAGTGAGCTATACCGACTCCATATTTGTTGAGTATTGTCTGTGAATTTTTCTTTCTGCTTGCATCACCTTATATAGCTCCTAATTAAATGAAAGATCCTTACGAATTGTGAATATATCTACAAGTAAACAGTCATGGAACATTCCAGGATACTGTCCAAGTATCTGTCTGCAGACAGTGAGGATATGTATCGGGAATTCAACGGAGAATTGATCCTGGTGCTTCTGCATGTATGTCTGTGGCGTGACCGTTATACCAACGCATTGGAAACACGGTAAGGCTGTGTACTGAATAATGAAACGGCTAATCAGTTTGAAGCATCGGAGCAATGTGCTTTTGTACCGCTCCACGCCATGTTTCAGCGTTGTAACAAGCTGTGTAATTAACTCCACGGTCCTGAGTCCTTTTCGAGAAGCCGCCAGTCGCTCAGCTACTCAAGAATCCCAACATTTTATGGAACTCCAATGTGTTATCGTATTCAAAAGAGCCCTCCACTGGTCCCGATCCTAAGGCAGACAATCCAGCGCCTACTATCCCTGTCCTATTTCTCTACGATACATTTTAATATCATAGTAATATTACATCTATACCTTCTTAGTAACATCTTTACTTCTGGTTTGGGTCGGGTAAATTGTTGCTGTTCCTCGCCAGCACAGTCATTGTTTTCGAGCCCGCACATTTTACTGTCTCACGACTTCTAGTCATCACATCAAAATCCTATATGAATATTCCTTCTGTCCTATGCCTGCTGCATTCCTTGCCAATATAATCCTCCTTTCACTTAATCATTCTAATTATACTTGGCGAATAGTACAAGTTATGAAGCTCTTTAATATGCAGCTTTCTCGAACGTCTTACCAGTTCATCTCTCTTTGGTTCAAATATTCTCCTCAGCACCCTGTTCTCATGTACTCTCATTCTGTGCACTTTCCTTAATGTCACGCCCATACAAAGTACACTACACTAAGAGCAGCTGAAAGAGTGGTATTAACGTTTAAATTAAAACAACGGAATGAACATTTTAAGCAAAATTATTCTGATGCAATTATAAAACATGTATTCTAAATCATAACTACGTATCTAGGTGTGAGTAGATCCTGCGCAGTGATCGCGACATCGTAAATGATAAGGCCAAAAGTTTGATGTAACACAACAGCAATCGATTCAATAATAACATAAAAATATTAAACTATAGCCTATGTTCTAACTGAAAAGTAGTGCCTATTTACGTCATCTGTTTGGCAAAATGTTAGAGTTCACTGATGTAAAAATGTGCAGAATCAGTAAAGATAAAGTTGGCAATGCGCCTGTAAATCAGCCGGTGAAAACGGGTAGGGGATGTTGTAGCCCCAGATGCACTACTAACGTCTCGTCAATTGTTTCGGACTTAATTCTGGGCGGGATTAGCACTAGGACAGAAGGCCTAATTACTGACAGCTAACATTCATTGTTGAAAGGAATAATCTCGTTACAAAGAGTCGTAATGCGGCTTAAATTTTGATGGGAGAACTGAGAATATAAGCTCGTTAAGTTGCAGTTCTGTATTACCGATCGCAATAGCAACTGTGGGCTTACAGGTGCAACACAGAAGCAACCCGTGCACTCCATCTACGGTGGTGAAGAGATGGCATTTTCATCAGTCAGTGATGCTGAATATTCTATCATTACAAAGTTACTAAATTCTATTTTATACGTACTTCCGGTGTTTACACAGGCCTTTTCAGTCGTAAGGTTGTCTACAAACGATATAGCATCACTACTTTTACAGTGTGCATCCTGTTGTGTGTCATAACTATATGACTAGGCAACGTATCCGTCAACACAACAAGGAAAATGGTATCACAATTAAACTCAATACCTCGTTGATTTAATTTTGTTGCTTACAGCTACATGTTTCGGCCCTTATGGAACCATCATCAGTGTATGTATAACACGATATAGTGAACTGAAATCATAATATGGATCCATATTTCCGTGCAAAGCGTCCTTATTACAAAAGCCGTAAAGGTGCAGAAAATTGTGCCCTGTGTTATGATGAACATTATATACAAAAATATTAGAAATGTTATCATCATCATCATCATCAGTAATCTGTCAAGACGACAGGTCCACAGTCTCTTTCAAAACAATTCCTCCACTTAATGCGATCTAGAGCTTTCTCCTTCAAATGACAGTATCCTCTTCTGTCCCCAAGGTCATCCAGCATCTTCTTACGTCTTCTTCCTCGTCTTCTTGTCACTTCTATCCGCCCATCTATCTTTCCTTCGATAGCTTCTTTTAGAAGGCAGTTTCTGCGTAAAACATGTTATAAAATATAAACATAAACATAAAAAATGTTATAGTACACAAGAATTTGTATATAAAATATTAGTAGAGGTAATTAAAAGACGGGTTATATTACGAAAAAAGTATTACATATTACAAGACTAAAATACCTAAAAACATTAGAAATATTAAAAATATTAAAACAGTATTATAAAATTATGGAGATATGAAGTTAATTCCTCATACGGATTTGACGCGTTGCACCACAATATGGATCCATATTGAGAAATCAATTAACTATATCTTATTTATTATATACACTGCCTGATGATGGTCCCACGAGGGCCGAAACATGTAGCGGTAAATAATAAAATACAACTTATGAGATATCGATTTTAATTGTAATACCACTTTCCTTGTTCTGTTGACGAATACGTCACCTAACCATACAGTACCCTAGTTCGTTGAGTAGATACAGGAATTTGTGGCTCTTGACTTACGGCCATTTCTAACTCCATGCAGCGAAGTGCATATTCACGATCTACAAATCCCTTAGCTGATTAAGAAATTTCACTCTCTAAAAGTCAATTATTTGTACTCGCATGAGTCCCCAGTTTGTACAGAAGCTGAGTCCGACTACATCTTCATATCCCAGTCTATCAGCCATGTCTGGATCTAACATGCAGTATCTTTCCATCAGAGTATTCCGACTAAAATGTACGGATCTCATCTCTTCCTTGTGAGTACTATGCCCGTCATTATACGAACTATGCAATATGACAGTCTGTTCATGACATTATTAAAAAGAAACCTACAGATATACGTAATGTTACTCACCCAGAATGCCAAGTCTGTAGTTTATCGTGACGACCACCAGGTCGGCGTAGCTAGCAAGGATGCTGCCATCATAAGGATTCCCAGAATTCCATTCGTACGATTCCCCGTGTACGTACACGAGGACCGGATGTCGCTGCTTCGGGTCTGTCGGCCCCACTGCAATGTAAAGAGATTCGATATAAGGGTAATGACCTTTACTGTAATTACATTTCCTCAAATAATAATGTAATTAACCGCGACTGCTAGGTTTACATTCCTCCCAACGGTGATATAAAAGTTATAACACTATCTGTGGCTCTACTGCCCTTTGTTGGATCTTAGCCGCTTTTTCAGTCTCTTATTCTTTCTACACATTTGGTAGGACTCCTTGGACGGGGGATCAGCCTGTCACAAGACCGCTACCTGCACGCAGAACAGCACAAATAAAATAAACGCGCACGGACATCAGTGCCTTGAGAGGAATTCGAATCCGTGATCCCAGCTTTCGAGCGAGACAAGACATTTCATGCCTTAGACCGCGCGGTCACCGTGACCGGCATCGAAGTTGCTACTACGACTTCTAAATGGGTACACGTGGCGGGTGCTGAAGGAACTTCGCATTCATTATTTCCTTCAGCACCAAGTGAAAAATGGGTTTCCGTTATCATATTTGCGATCAGATCTACAGATGCAAAACTTATTTCGCTTTTAATTTGCATTTAATTAAACACGTTTGGGATTCTGCATAGTTCTGACATTAATCAACTCCACAAAACTGCCAGTCACTTCACGTAAAGTGGGTTCTAACCCTCAGTCACAAAGTCATGTATTCCCGTGCGTTATAGCTGAATCGATGCTCGTTATATTGAATGACGACATGGCGATAACACTTTCGATCTCATGAAATAAATTTAAACTGATAGCGGTGTTGGCAACTAACAGAGAAGTTCTCGAGTCCTGGCATTTATTCTGCTGCTCTTCATGTATTTCGATCTTGCAGTTCCTAGCAGTATGCACAATTGATTTAGTCGAGTCAGCTATTCAGATAAGAACTGTAAAGTGCGTGGCTTTAGTTACAGCGCCTCACCCTCTCCATCCCCACAGCAGCCGGGCTACTTCACTCCTCATTTCTCCTCACGCGCAACCTACAAGCCGAGAACACAGGCTTCAGGCTGTGCTTGCCTTCAAAGCGCGGAAACGAAGTGCTGAAGGCATGATCAAAGCGAGAGAAATACGAAGGAGTCAGTGAACAGGTCACAAATGGAAGTAAAACAGCTGTAATGGACGTTTTCTATGTGTATCACTAGGTAGCAGCACAGCCCAGCTTCATAACAGACTAGGTAGCATCCGCGTATGCACACGTTCAGAGGCTGATCTCAGTAGTCAAAATGGCGGCAGTGCTTGAGGAGTGTATTACCGAACAGCAGCGTTCTGTTGTGCGTTTTGTTGCGGAAAAGAGACTTAATGGAAATAATATTCACAAGGACATGTTTCATGTATAAGGTGGGAAGTGTTTTTCGCGTGAAGAGGTTTACCACTGCTTAGCAAACTTTTGCCGATGTCGGTGAGGTTGAAACGGAGGTGCGGATGTGGCTGAAAGACCAGTCAAAAGGTTTCTATGCTGCGGGGTTCGACGCACTGGTAAAACGGTGGGACAAGTTTGTCAGTATCAGTGGAGGACATGTCGAGGAATAAATGTTTCTCCCAGGTTCGAATATCACATGTTTTACGTTTTATATACATTTGTGACCTGTCTGCTGCCTCTCCCTCCTGTCTCGAGCGTCTAGCCAAGGTTTTTGCTGTTGTAAACTACTCGTATATGTTCTTCCGAGTATGGTCTTCATTACAATACGGTGTAAACTTAGGGGCTAATATTATTTCAGAAAAAAACGTACTGCCTTCACTTCCCTGAAGATGGAGGCAGCATGTGTCTCCTAAATGTTCACATTCCCCTACAAGTTTACACGGTATCACAAACCTTAAGACTAATCAGAACGCTCACTTCTGTGGGGGCCTCAGACGTTACAAGGACACTTCTTAAGTCCACAGACTCATAGAAAGTAATTCGATTATCGGTACGGGTAGGGATATTTTCCCCGCCATCATGGTGTTTTTAATTCGCTTAGTGGGGGTGGAGTCCAACTGGGTCTACTCGGCACGGCGGCCACTGATTGGCCTATTGTAGCCTGTCCCGGGTGATTATGATGGAGAATTTGGTGGAATGAAGATTGGCAGGGGAAACCGAAGCACGCGGAGAAAACTCGCCCCAGCGCCACTCTGTCCAACACAAATCCCACTTGACCAGACCCTGGATCGAACCCGGGCCGCAGCGGTGGGAAGCCAGCGACTAACCGCTTGAGCTATGGCGAGGCCCGCCATCATGGTTACTGGACCTTCGAAACCACCATTTTAACAATTTGTTACTGGAGGATGAAGTCAAAAGGGCAATGCGCCTCCGTTTAATGCCGGGTCTCTTGGAAGACATAGAGGCATTTGGGAAGACATTATAAGATACCTTAAAGAAATAGCCCGATAGAGTTCAGACTGGATGTGTATACTAGTCACCGCCTCTTGTGAACGCGGTATTACAGTGCAGAGTTGGACCGTGAACAACACAACAACGGGGGATCCCTTCGCATACACGTAACATACAAGCATTTAAACTCCACATAAGGAAAACTCTGGCGTACTACGTGAAATAAGTGTAATCCAAGTGGGTTGTTGTGTGGGATTATAACATTATATAATATATTAATAACAGATAAGGTCAGTTTTATCTTAGTTAAATGTGAATAAAAGAGTGTCTACTTAATTACCAATCCTTGGATGTAACTAACTGCTGCTCGCTTAATATTATTAATCGGGTGTTATTTTACATTAATACTCCAAAACTCTAAATAGCATCACATAATATCTAAGCGAATTTATAATTATTGCTATAATCTCTTCACATTAACGCAAAAATTTCTAGTTAAGAACTCAGTTCCACTGCGTACCAATTTTTTTTTCTTTCGTTAATTTATGACGATCTTTCAAGTGCATCTGATATTCAATGCCAGATGATCAATTGTACAGAGAAGTTACGACAAGAGTCGTAAATTGTGCAAGTTAGGACTGAAAGTCGTCTATTTTATGGCACTTTACAGTCATTCACCTCAAGTACTCGTAAATGATTAAAACCTGAACAAGGTTCGAATCAGATGTCTTCTATTAAAGAGTGCATGACCAACTCCACGCTCAGTACTTTCCACCTCTCTTATACGAAATGCAGACTCCGATATGTAAAGCGCTTCATTATATGAAAAAAAGAAAAAGTTTTTTCGTGTATGACTTCGGGTTTCGGAAACACATTGGGTGGAATATTGAACATTTTCCAAAGTTTCGGCGATAACAGCAGTTGATATCTTCAGGGTTAAAGATTCTGAGGGATTTTGGCAGCTGTCATCTTGCTGTAGACGGCTTACCGACAGTTGGTAAAAATTTTACCATCTTACAAGGCGTATTTCTGAAGGCTAATACCATTTAAGCTCTAGCTATGGAAACCTACGGACTAGAAGAATTTTTAATTTCAGTTGAAAGCTTTTCATATGCTACGTAGGTAAGGAATTGTAATTGATGGAACTAGTAATAAGACTGGGAACAGAAAGAAGACGGGAAAATATGTGAAGAGGAGGGGGAAAAAAAAGAATAAGAAACAAAATGTATTTCGGAGAAAAACTGTTTGCCTAAAACCATACCGTTTTGTTTGAGTCGAATTCCTCACGTCCACTTCTTCGCATTATTCACGATGAGAAAGGCAGGATCGCTGTTCTTCTCACTGATCCTTGAACAAGTAAACAAGATTCCGGGAACTTCTATTGAGCTGCCTGGAACGATTATCCCTGTTCCTATCTAACACGAAGTCCGATTTCACTGTTTTCCTTACATGTCCTGTGACCCATGCACTTCACTGTCTCGCTTACCCGTACTCGTATCCCTCGTATCTGTCGATATGCAGGCAGTCAACTGTTTTTGTGGATCACGAACGTAACAGCATGAAGCAGCCTGATGTCGATGATTCTTCATTGCCAACTTCTGAAAATTTAAGGTACCTTCAAAGCTAAATCAAATATGTTTTTCCTTTACGCAGGGCTGAACAATCGCTATTCATCTTTTAATGTTATTTGTATAAAGAAGCAGACATTAGTACGCGTTCTTGGTCGAGAACATGGCGCTGCTCTCGTCAGCAGGCCTATTATGTACAATACACAGTAGCTGTAATTTTAAGGATAAACACCGACATAAATAAGTAAAAATCACCTCGTTCACGTAAGAGAAAGCGAGTTTGAATTCGGACGATGGATAATGTGCACAAAATCAATCAGTTTTCCAGATTCTCACAATGGTTAAACATGCAGGATGTCGTCTTTCGGGATGTAACGCCGTGAAGCTTGGTAGAAATTCACCGCGTTGCAGAGGTACGCATTGCCTCTTATCTTCTGGCGTGATGCGTGAGAGAAGCAAGAAAGTAGCAAAAAAATGTCCACGTTCTAGTTTTGGTCATGGAAAATTAAGAAAATTTATAACAAATATTATAGAAGTAATCGTGAGGACACAGCATTAAGACAGAGAAGAAAGCTGCAAATAATACCATAAAGGCATACCGACCGCTTAATGTTCTAAGACGCAAATATTAACTTCGTGGCCCTACGAAAGAGCAACTACACGGACAGACAACGAGAAGGAACAGTATTCTATTTGTGACGGGGCAATGAATCTTCGGTCACTTGTAAGCAACGAATTCATCTTCACGAAATGACAGTCGCTGATCTCATGAAAAAATTCTTCTCTTATTTCGAGACCGAATGTCTCTTACATATTCACACAAGCCTGACACAGGATTTTACCCTGAGTCAGATGAATCCAGTTTATATTAACATAATCTTCGAGGTTCACATTAACAGTATTTTCACGTGTTTAATGACCATAGACGGGTTTTGGATTGAAAACTCAGTTTATTACACACTGTGGTACAGCGCGTGACTACACTTTACAGTTCACTATTACATACAGTGTCCACAGTAACGTCTTTGCTAGCCGTTGCTTGGTAGCGGCTTTCAACGGCTGATGTACCTCTTCCTCTGGGTTCCCGAACTATGCCCGGCCTCAGCTACCAGCCTTTCCCAGCAAATGAGTCC